CTTAACTTTCAAGGTCAGACAAAATCGAGCATGTGCAGAGTGGTTCAGCCTAGACTCCACACATCCCTATTTCTATCCTGCATCCTCTTTGTCACTGAGGCTTAAACCACTCATGTCAGAGAATCTCAGATGTTGAGCCACAAGGGACCATAGAGACCATCTTCATTTGCCCCTTCATTTTGCAGGTGAGGGAGCTGAGGTCCATAGAGGGGAAGTCACTTGACTGAATGGTGGAACAGGGACTGACTCATGCCTTCTGGATATGCCTGGCATAGCTGAGTCCGAAAGACCTGGCTTCAAGTCCGGCCTTTGGTATTTCATAGCTATGTGACCTTGGGCAAGTCACTTTCCTCATTTATAAAATGGGAGCATATTAGCACCCATTTGAACCTGCCTTCCAGGGTTACAGTGGGGCTCAGATGAAATAATATATAGAAAACCCTTTGCAAACCTTAAAGACCTAGAAAATGTGAATGGCTCTTAAAATGATTTTGTCTCACACATCTTTGACCCTACCTTCTCTCTCCTCCCTTCTATTCTATAATCAGTGCCTGGTCTCTCTGCCTCTTCCACTCCCTTTACCAGTCCAAACCACCCTGAACTAGCACTAGGTAGGGTGTCCCCCTTCCCAACACATTGCAGGCTGCCCCGGGGGACAGAAGGTTGGACTTGTCCACAACCACGCAGGGCCAAATCCCTGCTCTGCCACTTGCTCACTGTGAACCATGGACAGGTCATATCTGTGCTCTGAACTTTAGTTTCTTCATCTGCGTAATGGTGATAATAAAACCTGTGGGAAGGGAGGAAGAAAACAGGCATTTATATAGCATCTACATAGTATGTGCTGCATAAATGTTAGCTGTAATTATTATTATATTATTATTACATGCCAGTCACTGTGCTAAGTGCTTTTCAAATATTATCACATTTGATCCTCACAACAACCCTTTGAGGTAGGTGCTGTTATTATTTACAGTTGAGGAAACTGAGGCAAACAGAGGGTTAGTGACTTGCCCAGGGTCACCCAGCTAGGAAGTGTCTGTGGCCAGATTGGGTGTCAGGTCCTCCAGATTCTAGGCTTGACACTGCCTGCACGGTGGCGCCCCCTAGCTGTGGTAGTTGTGTTCATCCTGTACCAGCACAGGTTGGCACCTTTTCTGAAATTTAAAGTCTTAGAGAGCTGGCTGGGGCCCTTATCCAGTGACTTGCCCAGGGTCACACAGTCAGCATCAGCAGTGGAATTTGCACCCAGGTCTTCCTGCCTCTAAGGCTAGCTCTCTATCCATTATGGCAAAGGTTCATGGGATCACAGATTTAAAGCCAGAAGGGCCCTTAGAGACCATCTAGTCTAACCCTCTGTTTTACAGATGAGGAAACTGATGATCAGAGAGGTCAGGCAGCTTGCCCAGGGTCCCATAGCTAGAAAGTGTCAGAGTCAGGATTTGAACCCAGATCTTCCTGTTTCCAGCAGCTGCTTTGGCTCTAGTAAGAATGTATTTAAAGTCTTTTGCAAATTTAAATCTATGTAAAGGTTTGCTATCACCATTACTACTTAAAGTACCCACAGAAATGTCAGTTTCAAAAAGAAAAGAAAAGAAATGTCAGTTTCCATGACTTATCTTTGCTTATGTTTGTCCAGCTGCTTGAATCAGGACTTCTTAACATTGTGGATCCATGGAGAGATTTCAAGGAATTCTTAAATTTGGATAGAAAAAAAAATCATTATTTTTACTAACTTTTAACAAATTAAGAATTTCCTTTAATTGTAAATTAAAAAAAAAAGAATTACTTGCAGCCAGGTGTCCATAGGCACCCCCAGGCTGCCAGAGGGGTCTATGCCACAAAAAAGCTAATGGGCCTTGGTCAAGATGATCTCTAAGGTCACTTTCAGCTGCAAGTCCTACAATCATCTGCCCTCTGCTCACTGTCATTCCAAATCTTCTACAACCTTCAAGGCCCAGCTCTGGTCTATCTCGTCCAGGAAGCCTTCCCTGATAATGCTCTTGCCGGCACTCTTTCCTTTCCCTGCATCAAATCTACCTTGCCTTTAGAGTATGCACAGCAGAATCTGCTCCTTGACTCCTGCAGTCTTAAAATGATTGTCCATTGTTTTCTGGGTGTGAAACTTAGCTCCTTAACTGACCAATGAGCCCATTAAGGATAGTTGCTTATCTTTTACCATCAGGTCTCTGAAGACCATTGCAGGAGAGGGAGTGGGGTCTTGTCTCAGAGAGGTCAAGGCCACACAGTTAGGAAATGCCCAAGGTGGGTTTTGTACCTAGAGGGTAAAACTAGCAGCCAGAGGTAGGCATTGCATAGAGACAGATTTCAGCACAATATAAGGAAAACCCTGCATTTAGAAGTGTCCAGCATTAGGAGAATAGATAGTAAGTTTTCCCATCACTGGAGGCTTTCATTTGGAGGTTAGATGACCACTTGCTTTGGTATTCTCAAGGGGATGGACCAGATGGATAACTTTGGAAACCCCTTCTAACTGTACTCTGTTATTTTTGGCTCGGGCTCTGCAATGGATTGGCTGTGTGACCATGAGCAAGTCTCTGTACCTCTCTGTGCCTCAGTTTTCTCTTCTGTAAAATAAGGGTGTTGAACTCTGGCAATGCTAACATTCCATGACACTGTGAGGGGCCAGTGGGAGCAGTAGAGAACTTGCCCAGCTCCCTCATGTACCTTGGAGACTACTCCCAGTTTATCCCACCTGTATCTTATTTGTACATAGCTGTTGGCATGTTGTTATCTGCCATTAGACTGTGAGCACCTCGAGGTAGGGACTGTTTTTGCTTTTCTTTGCCTCCCTGGCCCTTAGCATAGCACCTGGCCTACTGCAGGTGCTTAATAGATCCTAGTTGGTGGACTGACTCTGCCCGCTGCACCCGTGCCCTGGACTGGGTCTGCTTCCCTTAGCCTTACAGTGAACTCTGTTTGAAATGCTAACAGGCCTGGACTTTGCTTATGGTGATGCAGAGAGAGAATTTAGGGGACAGCTAAGTGGTGCATTGGAGAACACACAGACCCTGCAGTCAGAAGGACCTGAATTCAAATCTAGGGGCAGACACTAGCTATGTGAGTCTGAGCAAGTAATTTAAGAGAGAGAGACAGAGAGACAGAGAGAGAGAAAACACGAGCTTGGTTTTGAAACTTACATTAGTAGATTTAGATCTCGATCATCTGAATCATCTGGTCCAACCAACCTGTCATTTTACAGTTGAGGAAACTGAGGCCTAGAGCAGTAAAGTAACTTGATACAAAATCACAGGTGATAAATTAGAGAGCTGGTGAGGCAGTGGTGTTCGACAAGTAAACACACCCACTATGCCATTTCTTAGGAAGGAGACCCCGGAGGGCAGACAGGAACTGAGTCATAATAAAGGGTTAAATCAGCTTACTTTATTCTGGTCTAGTCTTCTTGAAGAGAGTTTGCTGATAATGGGAGCTCCAACTGCCACAGCATTCCCTAACGCCTCTCACTGGGGCCAAGTGTGAAGGGAGGGGCAACTACCCCTCTTCTTGATGGGGGTCAGTTGAGACCAACACAACCTGTGCACTCCCCAAAATCCCCTCAAGCCTCAGTGGCGGCAGGTTGAGACAAACACACAGATTCCCCCTCCCAAGCCTTGATGGGGACCGATCAAGGCACGCACAGCATTCAGCCTGTGCATTCACCACTATGGGGGTCCCCAGTCACTGACCAGCACCCGCTTGCTTTATAGGGCAGCAGACAAAGAAGGCACATTGCCAGCAATAGCCTCACAATTTTACATCACTTCATCCATATATCTACCTCGACTGTGCAGTAGAAACTGTTTTCAACCTTCATTGTGAGAACTCATATCTAACACCTGGGAAGTAGAGATTGTGATGGCTATGGATCCTGGGAAGAAAACTCTGAGAAAGCACAACAAAAAATTCACCTTACACACACTAAAATTCATCTTCCTTACAAGTGGATATATTCAGAATGCGTGCCATCTTGGGGTGGGGGAGGGGTGAGATGCGGTGAAAATTTGAAACCCAAAATCTTGTGGGAGTAAATGTTGAAAACTAAAACTTCATAAATTTTAAAAAATAAATAAAATATAAAAAAATTAAAAAGCAAAAACAAGTGGATAGAGCACCATCCCTGGAGTCTGGGGGACCTGAGTTCAATTCTGGCCTCAGACACTTGACACTTACTAGCTGTGTGACCCTGGACAAGTCACTTAATCCCATTGCCTAGCCAAAAATAAATAGATAAATAAAATGAATGAGAGCTCAGATTTGAATGCAGGTCCGGGCTAGAAGTTATTAGAGGAGCAAAGTTGGGTTTGATATAAAGAAAAATCTCCTAACAATCAGAACTATCTGAAAACAGAATGCATGACCTTAGGAGCTGGTGTTTTCTCCCTTGTTAGAGGTTTTCAAGTAGAGGTTGGATAATCACGTCATAGAGAAACCATCCTTGGATATAAAATAGACCAAATGGCTTCTGAGCTACCTTCTAGCTGTTACAGTCTATGATGTTTAAGTGATCAGAACTTACAACTGGGTAAGAAGGCTGATTTTTGTCATCCCACAAATAATGCTTGTTAGTCAACAAGCACTTATTAAGCACTTACTGTTTGCAGAGCACTGGGGATACAAGGAAAGGGAAAAATATGGTCTCTGCTGATCACAATCCGATGAGAGAGACAGCAGGCAAACAACTACGTCCATATACAACATATACAGGGTAAATGGGAGCCCATCTCTGAGGGAGTTGGGGAGTAGGAAAAGCCTCTTGTGGAAGGTGGGATTTGAGCTGGGTCTTGCAGGAAGCCCGAGAGCTCAGCTGCTGTATTTTGTCCCCCTAGGACCCCTGAGGTCACGCCATCTGGTTCTCAGCTCCACAATTTAGGCTTGGGGTGATGTTGCAGCCTCTCGATTCAATGTATCAGTACCTTGTTACTATATGTTGTAACTTCCTAGATAAGTTAAAGTCTAATATCTTCTTTTTCTTCTTTCAGCTTTGGAGTGCTCAGAAAATCAAACAGGTAATTTGATTTAGAATTCTTTCCCCTCACCTCAGGCCATGCCTAGCTGTGGGCCAGTCTCTTCTCCTCTATATGGAACCTTTCCCTCCCTCATTCTCATGAATTACATTCCAGGCCACAATGGGGATTTCCTGAAGAAGCTCAGTCCCCTTCCCATTAGTGTCCATGAGCCTTACTAAGAACTTCCTCTCCTCTTTGCTCCCATTAGAAAGGGGTGGATGGATATCGGGTTGGGATAACCCAAATACTGCCTGTAGTACCTTCTGTCAGGGTCAGAACCCACACAATAAATCAATCTTGTGCACCCAAGGAGCTCTGGCCAGAGCTCTGTTCTAGGCATGGGTTGTGTGGGAGGGTCCAAAGAGGGTGAGCTCTGTGTGGCCTGAATTTATTTACTGTCACAGGATAGAAGGGTTCACTTTGCCATGCTTTACCATCTGTAGTTTCTTTGGAGCATTCAATCTCTTTTCCACCCTCTTCTTCCACTGATGTATCCCCCTCATTACCCCCAACCCCAGCCCCACCTGAACTCACCCTGGTCTCAATGCTGAGCTGTTTCCTGACTGTCTCACAGGCCATCCTACACCCGGACACCAATGAGAAGATCTTCATGCCTTTTAGGATGTCAGGTAAGCCCCAGCTGTCTGTCCATCTGGGAAGCCAAAGCCTTCTGGCACTAGAGCTTGAAAGGTCACTTCAGGTCATCTAGACCAACAGATGAGGATATGAAGAGGTGAATTTACTTGTCCAAGGTCACATAGGTTGTATGTGACAGGTAGGATTTGAATCCAGATCCTCTCACAGAGCCAGTGTTTTTCCTCCTGTCTCTGTCCCCTTTGGGCTTCTGACTGCCAGCACCCATACAATGGCATTCATATCCTGGCCCCCACCAGGGGGACTCATTAGACCCATGTGCCCAGAAGACAGGCACAGTTTCTTACCCATAACCATAAGGTCTACACACACCGCTTTGTTGTTCCACCAAACATGGTCACCTGCCGCATCCAGGGTTATATTGGCGCCAGCTCAGACCAGCTCACAAAAACCAGCTGTTAAATATTCAACGTGAGCATTTACACCTTGGAAATCTACAAATACCACAAATCAGGCCTTAATTTATTGTTTTGCTGATTGCTTAGACTTAAGAAAGTGAGGGGAAAATGTTAATTATGCAGATTTAAAAGTGTGTTATGGGTGCGTGTCTGTGCATGTATAATAGCTGGTTGTTAAACATTTACCAGCATCCCCTGACTGTATCCCTCCCTTTCCCTCCTCCCAAAGAATCATCTCTTTTTACATTTTTTTAAGTTCAGCAAAATCAATCAACGCGTTGGAAAAATTGAATCTTATATGCAGTGTTCCACACTGGTGGACTCCCACCTCTTATGTCTTCTTTGGGTTTGCCCTTCTTTCACAGCCAGCCCAATACCGTCTCCAGTAAGTCCTCCTGGACTGTGATCCCTCCTTTGTCCTCTGCCCCAGTCAATGCTATTGACACTAGTCATCACACTCAGAGGGATCACTTTGTTAAGCAACCCAGAAAGGATCCGACTGACCAACTCACAGTACTCTTTATAAGAAGACAAAGTATTAATGACAATAACAAAAAGACAAGGATTCAGTACCTTCAAAATTGGCTAAAATGGAAATGTCTTGGCACCTATTTGTCTAGAAAGCTCACTTATGTAGAAGAAGCCATTTCCAGATAAATGTGGGGTTATTGTGATGTATGGGTTCAGTTGGGATAACCAGGGAAAGCTTCCTGGAGTAGGGAAGATTTGACCTATGTTTCATGGAGCAGAGAGACTCCTTTTGTTAGAGGGGAAGGGAGAAGACAAGAGAAGACATGTCTCTACCCTCAAGGATTGCCTGGTCTAGTGGGAAGATTAAATTTGCATAGCTGGAACCTTGAACCTGTATGGTTTTAAGGGTCAGAGCAGGCAGAAGTCAATGTTGCTGCATTTACTGGGGAGGCCGGGGCTGGAAGGGCAGGGCAGGTTTCCTCCAACAATGGGGTCTCAACTTGGACCTTAGAAAGGATGGACTGAGGGTGGACGCCATTTGGATGGAAACAGTGTTGGCTTGGAGGAGGCAGGTTTGGGGGTGACTCTGCTAGTCACCACCTGTGCCATCTTGGCCAAGTCATGAGATCTCATGGCCCCAGAAGGAACCTTTGAGGGCACTGAGTCCAATTCCCTCATTTTGCATAGGAGGAAACAGAGGCACAGAGAGATGAAATCGCTTGCCTGAGGTCACAGCTCTTAAGTATCTAAAGTAGGATTTGAGGGCAGCTAGGTGGTGCAGTGGATAGAGTACCGGTCCTGAATTCAGAAGGACCTGAGTTCAAATCCAGCCTCAGACACATAACACTTACTAGCTGTGTGACCCTGGGCAAGTCACTTAACCCCATTGCCTAGCCAAAAAACCAAAAAAAAAAAAATAAAGTAGGATTTGAACCTCAGTCTTCCTCACTCCTAGCCAGAGCTCTATCCATTACACCATCCTGTATAGGTCAGACAACCTGGGTTCTAATCCTGACCTTGACATCTGATACCTTTGTGACATGGGGCTAGTTGCTTGAAGTGACTTGGGCTAGCCCCCTTCCTGGGCCTTCATTTCCTCAACTGTTAAACATGGGGCTGGTCTCCATGGACTCTAAGGGTCCATCTAATTCTAAATCTGTGAGTTATCATGTCCCCTAATTCTTACTCTCTCTGGCCCTCAGTTTCCCCATCTATAAAATGGGGAGTTTGGATAACACATTATCTAAGGTCCTTGCCATCTCTGAACCCATGATGAGATAATGACTTTGGTTGAGAGCAGCCTGGGGAGAAGGGATAAAGGTGAAGCACATTCCAGGCTGAGGGAATTCTGTGGGCTCAAGGCCCAAAGAGTCCTACCAAAGAGACTGGCCTGGCTGGAGAGGGAAATGATACTGCAGGAGGGGGTGGTGAAGATTGGGAAAGGTATTCTGCTCCCTTCTATGTCTCTAAGCTGCATATCCTACGTGTGTGATAGAAGAGTAGGGTACGGTGTATATGGCAGAAAAAATATTTGAGCTGCATGGCGCCTTGACTCCCAATGTTTCCCTGACCCCTCTGGTTGCTGTCCAGGGTAGATCTCAGCCCAGAAAGGTCAGTTTAGAATGGCAAACCCAGGCTGATTCTCAGAGGAGCTCTTGGGCTTGTCCTCATTGCCCAGGTTCTTCATCTGAGATTGCTCAGGAAGTAGGTGTGACTTGCTTATTTATCCTTCCCTTTCTCCTACAGGTTACATCCCCTTTGGAACACCCATTGTAAGTATCTTAGCAAGTCTGTCTTCCAGCTGCCATTACCTAAGAACCCCCAAGGTTCTTACCCATCACGGATCCAGCCAACATTCTTTGTGCACCTACTGTAGGCACAGGCTTTTCCTAGACCTGTGAGGAAAACAAAGAGGAGACATGGTCCTCATCCTCAGAGAATTGTACAGTCTTTGAGTACAGGATGGTAGGACTGTGTCACTCCCCTTCTCTAAAGCCTTTAATGGCTTCCTATTGCCGGAGGGGGAAAATGTAAATTCCTCAGTTTGGCATTTAAGGCCCCCTGCAGTCTGGCTCCAACTTTTCCAGGCTTAATGCACATGACTCCTTTTCACATACTCTACATTCCAGTCAAACTGAACTATCAGCTGTTCACCATATTCAACATTCCACCCCACCTCTGTGCAGGTACCCATAGCCATCCCTCATGCCAGGGATTCATTCTCAACTCATCTCTACCTCCCAGAATCCTTGTTTTTGTTTGCCTTACCCTTGGGAAGCCTTTCCACTCCCCTAGAGGTTAATACTCTCTCCATGTTCCAGTGACTTTGTGTTTACATATTTGTGTACATACGGTCCTCTGCTTTCCCCACCCCTGCAGAATGTAAGCTCCTTGAGGACACAGAATATTTTGTTTTTGCGTTATATCCCCAGCTACATGGCAAAGCAGATAGAGCTCTGGCAGCTAGGCGGTGCAGTAGATAGAGTCCAGACCATCAAATCTGGCCTCGGACATGCACGGGCTGTGTGACCCCGGGCAAGTTGCTTAACTCTGTTTGCCTCAGTTTCCTCATCTGTAAAATGAGCTGGAGAAGGAAATGGCGAATCACTCCAGGATCTTTGCCATGAAAACCCCAAATGTCGAGATCAAATGAGAATATCCGAAAAGTGCTTAGCACAATGACTGTGCTTACTACTGCAATGGCATGTGGTAGATACTTAATAAATGCTTGTTCTATCTCTTCTCCTTCCCAGTACCTACCACTATTCCTGGAACACAGTAGTTAATTGTTTTGTGAATTCAACAAACATCCATCGACTAAAGAAGTATCTACAGAACACCTACTATGCCCAATGTGCTATTAGGGATATAATGAGCAAAAGACACAGTGCCAGGCCCCTGCCCTCAAGGAGCTGATGAGCCACATATATCTTCTAGTGCCCAGAGCCCTGAACACAGCAGGTGCTCATTACATATGTGCTGAATTGGCTTGTGTGATCAGTGGTCTGGCTGTGGTGTATGGAGTCTAGGCAGTAAAACTCTAATTGAGAGAAATGCAACATCAGTGTAGCCTGTGAAGACTTCCTGGAGGAGGTGAGACTTGAACTAGATCTTGAAGGACAGATGCAAGTGAAAGGAACAGTCTAAGCAAAAGGGAGGAGTTGGAAATGAACATGGAATATGTGGAGAGGGAGGAGATATGCTCGGATGAGACAGAACACTCTGTGTGTGTGTGTGTGTGTGTGTGTGTGTGTGTGTGTGCGTATTTGGGGCAGGGGGAGATAAGTTTAGAGGTGAGATATGAGCACCTCCCTATGCTAGGCACAGGGTGAAGAGATGCAGATGCTTTGGCTATTGTAGTTGATGGGAGAGGCACTAGTCTGCCGGAGGTGAGACAGTCCCCACCCTCCAGGAGCCCCTGGTCTTACACACAGCTCCTGTCCTCAGGGAGCCCCTGCTCTGCTGGAGGAGGAAGGATATATTTACCCATGAAGAAGCACCAGAAATGCTTGCAAAGAAATAGACGTGGGGATGGAGAGGAATGTGACAGAAAGCTAGCTCTCCTTGGATGCTGCGGGCTGGGCACGAGTGAGCCTGGAGAGGCAGGTTCCTCCTTCATAATGATACCTCTGGAAGAGAGGCCCCGCTGCCTCCTGCCCTGGTGAGCAATGCTCTCCACTAATCCAGCCCTTCACTTCCTTCCTGGCCCACTGGGGGCCATCCATTGGACTGCCTTGCCCCAGAGTCCCTCTCCTCTGTCTCCCTCCCACCCCCTTCCACACTCACTCCTGAAAGCCAGGGAGAAACAGGCTGGTTTTCTCCGGAGGACGCTGCCAGTTTACTCAGCAGATTTCACAGATCAGCTGGCACCCATGTAGTACCTTATTTTAAGCTTAACATTTGAAGATGGAAACTTTTTTTTCCCCTTTGGGTGTGTAGTGAAGTGATCCCAATTTATACATAAGCACCACAGCTAGTCCAATGCTGCAAGCTGAATGGTTTGGGGATTCTTTATTTGTGTGGCTGGTCTGGTTCAAAAGTCCCCTCCTCCTGAACATCTTTTCTGACCAATCCCTCTTGCTCTGATGACTCCATTGCCCTAACATCAATCCATCAACAAGTGCCCACTATATGTGAGACACTTCCGCTCAGTGCTGGGAATACAATGACAAAATGAAGCTGGACCAGCCCCCAAGGCACTCTCATTCTATCAAAGGAAACACCACTTGCACATAAGTATATACCTAGTAAATAGAAGGTAGTTGGGGGAAGGGGTAGGAACTAGCAACGAGAAGGATTAGGATGGGCCTCATGTAGGAGGTGGGGCTTGAGCAGTGCCTTGAGGGAAAGATTCTTCCAGGCAGAATTGAGAAGAAAGGATGGTCAGGTCTGGGGAACAGCCTGTGCAAAAGCAGACAGGAGAAGGCATATTGGGTGTGAGGGAGAGCAAATAAGCCAGTTTGGTTAGACCATGGTATGTATGGTGTGGAATGTGTAATATGTCTCAACGGGCAGGTTAGAGGCTGGAGGGGAAGATCCAAAAAGCAGTTTGTATTTGACATAAGAGGCAGTAGTGAGCCACTGGACCTTCTTGAGCAGGGGAGTGACATAGCCATGTCTGTCCTTCAAGAATACTGCTTTGGCAGCTACGTAAAGAGCAGATTGGAGAGGGGAGAGACTGGAGGCAGGTAACTCAATTGGAAAGCTATTTCCATAGTCAAGGTGAGTGGTGATGAGGACCTAACCTTGATTGGTGGCCATGTGATTGGCTATGGGAGATGAGGTGGAGGGAAAGAACCTAAAGAGGCTGACTGAGGCTGGACTGTGTATCCTTTTGTATGGGAACTAATATCCTTTTCATAGGATTGCAGAGTTGGGAAGGACTTTTGAGCCCATGTGGATTCAGTTGGGTTGGACCTGAGCCCCATTTAGCCATCCTGTACCTCACCATGAGTCTCCTCTTACAGCATTCCTGATGAATACTTACCTGGCCTCTTTTTGAATACTTCTGGGGAGGGAGGAGTCCCTTTCATTCCTCCCTGGAGCAGCTCTCATTGTTGGGAAGCGTTTCCTGATATCTAGTCTAAATCTGCTTCTCTACAATATCTACCTATTGCTCCTAATTCTTTCCTTTGTGACCAAGGTGAGCAAAGCCAATCCTTCTTCCATGTGAGCATCCTTGGGATATTTGAAGGTCATTACAGTGTCTCCCCTAAGCCTTCAGTTCTCCAGGTCAGACATCCCAGGTCCTTCTGGGGAGGAATATACAGTCCCCTCATCTTTCTTGCCTCCCTCCTCTGGGTCTTACCCAGCTTGTCAATGAACCTCTTTAAGTATGACACTGAGAACTGAACCTAATGACCAGATAGGGTTTGGCCACAGCAGAGGACTGTGGGACATTCACTTCTTAGGTTCTGGATACTATGTGTCTCAATGCATCCTATGATCATGAGGTCCAACACTTTTATTTTACAAATGAGAAAACTGAGGCCTAGGTTGGCAACTTGACTTACCGAGGTTACACAGGTAATTAATAGCTAAGGTATTCTGACTCTAAATCTAATGATCTCTCTACTCCAGGCTGCCATCTCCTGGGTGGGAGTGGGGATGGCAGCTCTCCCAATTCACCTGTATCATCTGCTTTGGATTAGGGTCTCCCCAAACATCCTATCAGTGATCAGTCAGACTTGGAGCTCTCTGAGGGCAGGGCTTATGGTTTTCCCGTCAGAACAATGACTCCCCAAGGAAGGGGATTATGCCTCCCTGAGACAAGGACTTTGGATTCTATTTATTTTGTGTCTTCATATTTCTTGTTTCCCCTTCCCCCAACTACCTAGAACACACATTGTGGTCTAATGAGTAGAGTCAAGAAGACCTACATTCAAATCCTACTTCTGACCCTTATTAGCTGTATGATCCTGGGCTCCGCTCTCTGAGACTCAGTTTCCTCATTCATAAAATGGAGGTGTAGTATGTATACCGTAAAGGTAGCAGGCATGTATCTCATAGAGCTAGTGTGAGAATCAAACGAGATTGTGATAAGTAACAGCTAGTCTGACTTATATGCATGAAGACATTGGCGCCTCATAAGACTCTGTGAGGTAGGCACTCCATTTTACAGATGAGAAAACTGAGGCTCTCAGTGGTTAAATGACTATGACCTATGGTCACACAGCTGGTAAGTGTCAGAGGTGAGAGTTGAACTTAGGTCATCCTCGCTCTTTATCTAGCAGTCTCTCTGCCACGACACTTTGCCTCTGTCAATTGTACTACTGGCCCTACATTTTCCCTGGGTCACTCTTTCTTGTATCTGAGAGCCCTAGTCATGGAATTCTTCCCCTGTATTTGATCTAAATTCTACCTGCTTGAGCGTAATCACGATTGTTCCCGTCCTCCCCATTGGAAAGGGAATCCAGCCATTTTATTTTGAACACAATCTCTTTCTCCATCTCCTTCCCTCTCCCTCTCCTCTTCTTCCCCTCTCCTCCTTTTCCCTTGTTTCCCTCTCTTCCTCTTCCACTCTCCTCTTTTCCTTTCCTCCTCTTCCCCTCTTCCCCCTTTCCTCCTTTCCTCCCTCTCCTCCCCATCTCTTCTTCCCCTTTCTCCTCTTGCCCTTTCCCTCTCTTCCTCTTTTTTCCTCTTCTCCCCACCTCCTCCTCTTGCCCTTTCTTCATCTTCCCCTCTCACTCTCCTCTATGGAACAGATAATTCAAGGTCCCTTCCCAAGGATCATATGGACATATCTGTAGAGTTGGAAGGGACTTCAGAAATC